AACCATGTGGGTGTCTATGTGTTTCCGTCGGGCCGTAGATTCTTATTTCATCGTCAAAAAGCGCCCGTATTCACTTGCCAAAATCGCGACCCGGGGTGTTCGACCGGGCTACCAGACCTAGCCCGGTCGAACACTGCCCAAACAAATAAATTCCCCCTTTGAGCTGAGAGGTTTTGGGATTTCGCTCCGAGCGACGGTCCAACGAGAATCGTCAAAATCAGGCAATCAAGAGACCGGTAGCCACCAGCATGTCGGTGCGTCTTTCTCATGCTCCCGCGCCCCCCGCGCCCGAACTATGCACGGGCCCGGCTCGCCCGCTTGGGGATCCACCCGGCACATCCCCGCCTCCCACCTGCCGGCTTTCCTGCCGTCAGTTCACGGCAGATCGCCCACAACTGTCAGCAACACAAATCCACCACTGTTGGGACTGCCTTCACCCTCGCCTCACAGCCGACCTTCTGGTCGTACGCGGGTTCTTAAGGGTCGTACATGCCGGCCATGACGTCTTCCAACCGGCCGTTCGCAGGCGGTAGCTTCGCACGTCCCCGACAACTCCGAGAATGACCCGCACGAGAAGTGCGCGTCGGCGGCGCACTTTTCCTCCCAGGCTGTGGCTGCTGCCTTGGCCACCCTGGCCTCCCTCGAGGGGTCGCCAGGACCCGCCGCGGCCCTGGCGCGGCCCACGGGCGGCTTGATGCTCATCGACGCCTTCACCCTCGTCGGCCTGGCCGGAAAATACGCCAGCCGCTCGGGTGCCGCCCGCCTCCTAGAGGCCGAACCACCAGTGCTGTGAGTATTGACGCCCTCCCTGCACCTCAGGCGCGTCCCTCGCCCTCGCCGCCGCCGCCGCCGAGCCCGCCGCCGCCCTCGCCGCCGCCGCCCTCGCCGCCGCCACCGTCGCCGCCACCGCCGAGCCCGCCGCCGCCGTCGCCCCCTCTGCCGGCGCCTTCTCCGCCCTCGCCACCCCCACTGTCGCTTTCCCCCCACCAAGCCCACCACCGCCGTCGCCGCCGCCGCCCAGTCCGCCTCCGCGTCACCGCTGCCTCCCTCGCCGCCGCCCCCAAGCCCGCCACGGCCGCTGCCGCCGAGCCCGCCGCCGCCATCGCAACCGCCTCCGAGCCCGCCCGCACCTAGCCTCGTCTACCACGCCCGAGAAGATATTGGGCTGTCGGTCCTCGCTACGGTGTGAGTCTCTTTCATAACTAATCCCGTGGACGTACCCTTCAAATAGCTTTGTTTCGTAATACCCATCGTCCTTTCGCTTAACCCTTCTATTTAAGTCTACATCCGGTCATCTCCTACAGTACAGTGTATCAATGCCTTTCATTTCGTCCTGC